CCCTTCCCTTCTCCCCATCCCTCCCCCAACCCTCCCCCCCCCTTTCTGCCCCTACCCCTCTCCTAGTCTCCTCCTACATGGGAACCTTCCCCCCTCCCCCCCCTCCTTCCTTTTCCTCTACTATTTTCTACCCTCTTTCCTCTTCCACAAGTCTCTCCAATACACACTCTCCTAAGTTGCCACAGATTGGTACTGATAGATAGACATACCCTTTGACTTGCTAAATAGCTACTAGACATTCTGACCCACAACCCCCTCCAACGTAGACTTATGTGGTTTTGTTCCACGCTCCATCTCCTATTGATCCTCCGAGGACTTCAGGTTATTATGTTCCCAGACCAGCCAGACATCTTTGTCCCATGAACAGCCCTCCACCGAAACTGCGGTTTGGAACAACCCTTCCTCTATTCTGGATGTATCCCCTCGCAGATAACAGAAAGAAGTTTAGGTAAATAAGCACTTGCCCACAAAGATGCCTGGGGTTAAGCAGTTTCAAGTCTGATGAGCTTAAAAGGGATTTCTGGTCTCAACTGCTAGTTTCGTTGGTTCATCGCAGGAGACTTGGCTTTCTCTCAGTCTGCTAGATGTTAAAACGCAGACGGTCCTCACTTCTCTGTCTACACACAAAGCATAAAAGCTTCTTTTTCTACACAAAATCAACTGGTATCTTCCTACAACGGACAAGCCCATTACCTTATTTGGCAAGAGGATTGTATAGACAGTCCCTTAGCAAGGTACGCTGAATGCATTCCTGAGGGAGGGGGAATGAGGGGATAACATTAAGACTTCTTAACACAGTGAGAGCCGTGCCTGGCTCTTGTATGCATGATTGTTGCAAACACCAATAATTTTCAGTCCTAAGCATTAGCACAACACACACTGGCTAAAGATCTCACCTGCTGGACACCTGAAAGGAACACGACTCAGCAACATTTAAAAGAATTCAGTCCATTCCCCTGTAATTTATATTGCAAGCACCCATCATAGATGTTTAAATAAATTGGAGCAGGAAAAGGAGGAGGAAGTCACATGTGTAAACCAGCAACAAGACTCTGCTGCATTCTTGTGTCCTAGCAATATAGACACCACCACATCAATACACCCAGCATCCGATACCTTTAGGCTACTCCAAAGATCACCTGATAATGTTGTCCAGTAAGAGAGAGAGAAATCTGCCACTGTCATGACCAGGAAGTAATTCAGAAGTCAGTCAAGGGTCCTGAATATGACACCATGTTTAAGGACGCAATGCAAGACTACCCTTCCAGAGACCAGACTCCTGTACACCAATTTACCCATATTAGGGGATTTCCCTCTTAAGATTAATTTAGCAGTCTGAACAGAGACATTCACAAGAGAAGTATGAACTTTTGCAGCAGGGTGGATGAGTCTAGCAAGCTTAGGGTAAAATACAAATTTCCTTGTAGCAACAGCCTTACTGATGGGGTTTCATTTATAGTATAGCTGGTTCTTTAATTGGGTGCTCTACCTATGTGTATTCTGACATGCATGTGTCATGAAAAGCCTTTTGCTAGCAATGACACAAGCAACTAGTGGATAGTGTGACAGTTAAAGGCCTTGTCACTGTGAAAACATAGGAGAAAGTGACACAGGGTTTGCACATACTATATGTAGAGTGTTGGACTCCAGAATCTTAGTTCTGAGTGTAGAAAAAGTGTTTTTTCATCTTTTTCCGGTTTGTGATGTCCAAAACAGGGTCTGGAGCTTGGAGACTTTGAAATGCTTTGGGTGGGAATGAGTCCCCAACCCAGTATCTAGGCCTTGCCAGGCACCAGCAGGCTGAGTGCGTAGGTGTTTAAAGCCTTTATAATCTAGCACCTGACAACAGTTCAGGCTTCCATCTAAGAGACAGTAGGTCTCTATGTAGGGGTCAGTCCTTCCACAGAAGTCAGAGAGGCTGGGCGAGCATCCAAGGCATATACTGTATGTTTGCACAGTGTAGGAGCAGAGAAACAAGGAGCAGGAAGAGAGACAAAGTAAGTACAGGAGCACTGAGGTGCTGTTTTTGATGATTTGGAGGGCCAAGGCAACAGGCCTGAGCAGTGACGCTGCTAGAAAGCACCATGAGGCTGAAGTCATTTATGTTTGTGTTGATGGTGGAAACTCTTGTGTGGGAACTGATTTTCTGTAGGAACCTTTTCTGTTTTATTAATAAATGTGGGCCAGCACATCCTTAAACAGCACTTTGGGGGTGGACTGAACTCACTGAAAAACACTACATTCTCATGGACTGTTTTACTGATTTTGGATGAAAGTGTGGAAAGAGTGAAAACCCCCAAACTAACACAATATGGTGCTCGCATGCAAGCATAATGGTGGAGCACCAGATCCTGGCATAGTGCTACCCTCTTGAGGGCTGCTGGATTTTTAGGTCCCCCTAAGCTCTCCACAGCCAGGCAACTTGCATTTTCCACACTTTCACCCAAAGTCAGTAAAACAGTCCTTGAGCTTGCTTTTGTTGATTTTATTAGGGGTTGATGGGGTCTAGGAGTATATAGGATGCCCAAGGAACTGTAAAACCTTGAGAAAAACCTCTGAACCTCTGTACAAAAAATGTGGACCAAAATCAGCAACAGTCTCCTTAAGTCCCCTTTGGTCTACCTCCTCCAATCTCAGATGAAACTCTCCTCATCCGCCCGGCTTTCTTAAGGGAATCCCTGGGCAAAGGCTTCCAGAATCCACTCTGAAGCAGTCTGAGATAAGAACTAGTTAGGTGTTGCACCTGACCGCCCTCTCCCTTCTGTGGCTCAAGGGGTGTAAGAATACTCACACTGTCCTGTCCTGTAGCTTAGTGAGTTGCAGCTGTTTTCAGGCCTTAAGCTGGGCTGGCTCCTTCCCTGCTGACAGGCTGTCCTCCCAAGGAGATTGTAGGGCAGTGGACATCCTCCTGTCTGCTTCAGCCTGTAGGTAGGCTCCCCTCCCTTGGACCCCCTCCCAGGCTTAACGCTCCAGCACCTTCTTTACTCCATCTTCCACCCGAACACCAGCACTACTCTGCTGAACATTTAAGGGTTGCTCTTAGCCACCATGCCCAGCCTCCTGCCTGGGGATTAGCCAACTTCCCTTAAACATGCAAATCTAGGCCTCCTCCCCTCCTCCACCCCTCTACCAGAAAGTCCCTCCAGTTTCTAGAAGAGTGGGAGGGCTCCAGAAGCCCTGACCCGCAGAGCCTCTCAGCCTGCCTGAGGTAACCTCACTTCCTCACTCCCAGGCTGACTCATCCCAGGCTTCTAACAAGCCTCTGACTGACACACAAAAACCCTATCTACCTAGAGGGGGCTACACTTGCATGCCAGAACAGTGAGCTTTACCAGAAACTGTTTGTGCTCTGCAATGTGTTCCTGCAAAAAGAATCTACATTGTGTGCTGCAGCCCTTAAAGAGACAGTACTCCCCAAATTTGTTTGCTAAGGAACTGTGCAAAAAAATTCTGTCTGTGCATGACTGCAAAGATGGGTGTGCTAATGTCTATGGCAATGCAGGTGCACACTGTGCTGCTGACTTCATCCTGCCTATGCAGCCTATGGATAATGTTAAGAATCTTCTGGTCAAGTTTGAGAGAGTTGTTGCATGGCAGGTCTGGTCTAGAAACCACTGGTCAGAGCTGTTGTAAACGGTGCTGCTGATGAAGTTCGGGGTGACTTACTGTTTCATAGGCTGGGATGATTATGGCAAATACAAGGTGGAGATTGTGCTTGGAAAAGAGTTGGAACATGAATGGAAATGTCATTAAGTCTCAGTTGAAGATAAGTACCACATGAAGAGCACTGATAAGGCATTGTGGCAAGTGTGGTCATTACATTGCTGTGAATGGGGCATGCTGTTGCCGAGTGTCCCTGATTTTGGAATGTTGCACCTGGTAATCCAGCAGAGCAGAGGTCTAAGCTTACCTGTATAAATGTTTGTGAAAATGGGTGTGCTGTCGCTCTTGGCAACAGAAAACCTGTTGTGCCTGTAGGGGATGCCAGAAAACCCAGGAAGCTTGTTGTATCACGGTGTGGCTACTTGAATGAAGTGGCCAGCTGTAGTGAAGTGAAGCAACGTAAGCCAAAGAAGATGATGAGACCGCCTAGGCAAGTAGGTGAGAGCCTCTGTGAGGCAGCAGATGCTAAGTCTGACTGTGAAACTGTCCATTCTGATGTTGGAATGACTTCAGTTGGGAGACCTGCTGAATGCCATCTTGAAAGAAATTTGCCTCTGTACAATGTTTTTAATGGGGAGGCAAGAGCTAAAGACACTGTAAACATTATATGGGATACTGAAAATAAAAAAAGCATGATGATAATGGGTTAATAAAGCTTGCAAAGGCTGAAAATGTTAAGTATTTTATGGTGAATGAAGCGCCACCATTGCACAGTTGTGTGAATGTGGTATTGAAACTGGTTATGTCTAAAAATGTGGTATGGGAATATGATGCTAACATTGACAGGTGCAATGTGTCTGATGCTCTGGAGCCCCTTTGTTCATCTGTGCCTCCTTGGGCAAGATGGTGTGGCTGGAGAACAATGGATTTGGATAGTTGGTCCAAGAGGCTAATAGCAGTGCTGAACAAGGCTTCTGTAGGTAATATTGAGGTGGACACTATTACTGCTGTGCCAAATGGAGGGTTGACAGCCAGCAGTTGACGGCGTGCTGGCTGCTGCAGAGGGTTAACCCTCTCAAGTCATAATGATTAAATGAGGACAAATGCACATTAGGAGTTTTGCCCATGATCCATAAAAAACTTAATGGTGTGGTATACCAAACTGATATTGTCCCTAGAGAAGACCTAGAAAAGATTATTTTCACTGAGCCTGAGAGGTTTATAATGAATCCCACACTCTGGTAGAGCATCAAGGTATTTTATCAGGTACCTCTACTGGGGTGGAAGCCCTTTAAGAAACATAACCTTTAGGGCAGGGCTTAAAATTTCAAGTCCTGAGCTACTAGCCAGGCCTTAGAGTTACTCGCCAACAACAAACACACACAAACAGAGACACCTGTACATACACATGCAGACATGTATATACCCATGTACACACACACACGTACAGACACATGTATACACACACAGGCACGTACAGACACGCATACACACAGACACATGTACATACATACACAGACACATGTACGTACATACACACATGTACATGCACACACACAAACACATGTACACACACACACAGACACATGTACACACACACACATATATGTACATACACGCAGACACATGTACAGATACACACATGTACATACACACACAGGCACATGTACAATTGTACATGCATACACAGACACACACAAACACACACACATGTACATGTACACACACACACACACCACCCCCCCATAAAAAGTTGCAGTACTTCGTTTTTCACTCACAGATCCGGGTACTGCACTCTAGGGGGAGGCAGAGAGCACAGCACACACTCCTTGCTTTGCTTTCACTGCGCTCAGCTATTGAGCAATCTGACGGCTCCCAGTGCCAATGACAGATCTGGCCTGAGCTCCATGCCTGCTCAGCAAGACGGCCCTGGGGGACACACCCCACCATAATTTCCACTAGCCATTGGCGTGCAGGCGAGTGGAAATTTCAAGCCCTGCTCTAGGGCATCAATAAATGAGTCTCCCCATGTTCCCAATAACATGAAAGACCCCAGGAATGTCTTATGTGTGTAATCAGGGTGCCTTTTTATGACAGACATGCTGAAAGAACCATTAGAATTCTGGAATGTACAACCAGTATAAATCTTGCTGTCTCCTCCTCCGTCAGGAGAGCTGGTACTGTGGAGTACCAGTAATTAGATTGAAAACTGTTGAAATGTTGAAAACTGTCTCACAGTGCATTGCTGGATTGCTTCTTAGTAGTGATGGGCATGAGAAGCACTCCAAAGCACTGTTTGACGGTCAAAGGTATTGGTCCCAGGAGACAGAGAAGTAGTTAAAGACATTGAAGTCCTCAATCTGGAAATAATTTGTGTTGAAAAATATCACTTGGTAGGACAGTTGCTTGCAGAGTGTTGGATGACCGGCAACGTGAAATTTTGTGAAGGTTGTGTGGGGACTAACCGTTTGCCTGTGTTTGGTCCCTCCTGAGACACTGTCCTAACAAACACTAGGAAAAGAGGCGCTGATGACATTGACTATAATGAGCTGTGTAATCTATTTTGTTAAATTGCTGTTAATGATAAACAGAACAGTTAATTGCTATTGGTTTAGGTGCCAAGGGTAACCAGGAAGGTGTGGGCAACCTAAAAGACAGATTGCTGAGAATTGTACCAAAAATATAAGGGATGGTCCCTATACAGATACCAAAGAGAGCACTGGAGGTAGGCCTTTTTCTGTACTATTGGGGGTCCCCTTTAGCCACACAGTGATGAATGGCAAGTCTAACATGCTTTGCTTTCCAGAGGATTTACCCAGGTTCTACAAAGTCCTACACATCTGCATTCCTCAGCTGCCAGGAAGGTCACGTATACTGATAGTTTTTAATCACCAGGATAATTGGTCCACGGTCTCACTGCATAAATGCCTGCGTGCCACCCACTTGACTATGGCAACAAGTGATGCCAGGCTTCATGCTAGCTACTTTCCTACAACTGCAAAAGACACCAGACATCCTTAAGACATGGGGAGTTATCAATTTTGCTTACAGATCGGCCTATGTCTTCATCTAAGGAGTTACAACTGTTCAGAACTAATAACAGTGTTGTCTTCTTTGCAACTAAGTTTGTTATCTAAAGGGTTCTCAATGTTCATTTTCATTGATGGTTGGATAGTCTCCTCTCTCACATATTGTAAGCGTAGTGGCCCAATTGTCTACTAACACATGCACTCACTAGCCCAAAACTAGTATATTGTTCATTTCTACATCCTCCTCTTCAATTTGCCTCTGTTGTTTGCACAATAGGTTTCTAAACCCTCTATGCCTTACGATGGCTTTGAAAAGCCATCTGCAACCAAAGGTTGTTTATAATGCTCCGCATTTTGTTGTATTGTTCAGTGACACTTGTTCCTTATTAACCATTTTGTCTTCTAGTTTCCTCTTCTTCCAGTGTGTCTGGCCATGAGAAATTAAAGACTTCCTCTAATGTCCTACTAGTCTTTCACCCCAACGTCAGTCAAGACTACCCATAAAACTTCTTTCCAATGTGTTGCCTCTTGGGTGCAGTGAGTACAGCATCTCCCCTGTTTCTGCTGCCACCATGCCTAAAATAATAATGTTAAATGTGAAGGGACTGAACTCCAACCTGAAATGCAAACTACAGTTTAATTGTTTACAAGCTGGCATTATTTTTATACAGGAAACCCATATTGACAAAAATGGTACACGTGACTTTTTCTGCAGAAGTTTACCATGCAAATAACTACTGTAGCTTCAAATTATAGAAAATCTGCAGGTGTAACAATTAAAATTTCTCCTGGGGTTTAGTTCCATCTGCTTAAACATAATGTGGATGATAAGGGCAGATATCTTATACTACAAGGGCATCTTAGTTCAACCGAAGTTATCTTATATAATGTCTATGCTTTCTATACTGATACAACTTCATTCATTAGGATGATCTTGCATCAACAGGCTTGACTTAACACTAATTCATTACTTCTCATTGGACAATATTTTATTCTATCACTCTACCGTACAATAAGTAAGGCTTCCTCCACATACCCCACCCTCTACCCTCCACAGTACATTTCTTACACCAGTTATGCCAATTAATTAGATGGTATGCAGTTTATAATATTTGATGAGTTAAATATTTCAGTGATTCGTACCTTACCCTTCTTCTTCACAAGACCCACACTAGAATTGGCTATTTCCTAGTAAACACCTCTACCCTTAGGAATGCACTATCCTCATCCATTCTTCATATTAGCCAATCAAATCATGCTCCAGTATCTCTGACTATTCACTGCAGTCCAACTAATTTAAGTAACTGCCACTGGCAGATTTTCACTTAAAACATGAGTCCACCAAGTTCTTGTTGTTCACTCACTTACAGGACTACTTTATTTGCAACATGAAGTTGATTTTAGAAGCCCATAAATCTGTATTTCCTTTGCATTCAAGATGAGAAAATATGCTAATTTCCTCAAAATTCAGTCCATGTTCTCTAAGCTAGAGCCCAAACTGTCATATCAGCCCCTAAATATACCCACTATTCATCAATTCAATGAGTTGACAGTGGATAGGGCTGAAAATGTGCTCCTTAGAATTCTCAGACTTCTGATATTAAAGTGTAACTAAAGGCAAAACTTTTTCTTTTTAGTTTTGGACAGAGTGTAGAGGTACTGGAACACCTATTCATTTTTTTTTCTCTCTGTGCCCCTGTTAGGGAAATTCAGCCTCTCTATTTGTCCTATTTACCATTAGCATCAAAAGTGAAAGTAAAAGAAAATCTCACATTTTGGGTTGTTCCCAGAAAAATACTAGGCGGGGAAATTTTCCCATGGGGACACAAGTTCTGGTGACTTGGAGGTCCCCAAGGAATTCCCTTAATTTACAGGAATTTCTTCTCACTTCCTGTTTTGGCTATAGGACAGGAAGTGAAGGCAAATCTCTTCAATAGGACAGAAATGGCAAAAAATAAACTTCCAGGGGTTATAACCCTTCCTTACTCCAAAATGAAAAAACGTTTTGCTTATAAATCTACTTTAACACTCTTCCTGCTTGCATAAACACCTACCTATCCTTCTGTGTACCATCTAAAATCTCCAAAGACAGCACAAGAGCTCTTAATTCATATATTTCCCTGCCTTGGAAGATGTACAGGACCAGTACCACAAAAACTAAGCTCTCCCATTATATAGTTCCCTTTTTGAAATACAAAAATTTCAGCACCACTACCCTTACACACGGTGACTCAGATTTTGTAAGTATCTTGGTATATATATATATATATATATATATATATATACTGCATGTTGAAATGCATTGTTGTATATTACAAGATATATGAAAAATATTTTAAAAAAATATATTTTTTTAAATATATTCTTCAGATTTTGTTTACATATAAGCTTGAGGTGATGTTAGTGCAAATAAAAAAAGTATCATGTACAGTACTCAATTGTTCCTTTTTACATATAAAAAAAGTCATTTTAACATATATTTTTAAATATATTTGTAAATATATTCAAAAAATTTAGTTTTGGATTTTTAAAGACATACGGTATATTTGAAATGTGTTTTTAAAAATATTTTTCATATATTCTGTAACAAAAATGCATGTCAACATGCAGTATATATATATATATATATATATATATATATATTTTAAATATATTTTGAAATATATTGAACATGGCCAAAATTGTAGCATTTCAAATATATGTCAATATATTTGGGAAGAATATTTTTAAAATATATTTGGCAAGCATATTTTTAAAATATATTTCAAATATATTTTTCTTTCATATGGGTATGGTCACCGTTTTTTCACAACAGCAATACCAGATAGCTTTACACAGCAAATGGTTCAGTCTTGGAGCACACACTACCTATTTAAAGCTTAAATTTACCTAAAACAAAAAAAAATAAATAAAATTCAGCACAAACAATATTACATACCTTCAGTGAGATGTAGTCATTGAGCTGCTGTGTCCTTCAAAATCTTTCTTATTCATTCCCCCCTTCTCAACCCTGCCACCAAAATATTCCAATGTGGCAGAGCCTAATAGAACTAAGGGGCTGTGCCAGACACTCATTAAGAGTGTCCGACAACACCCATCCTTTCTGCTCAGCCCCTCCATTCATAGGAACTATTACTAGAGTTTCTATGACTGAAACATGATCTAGGAATGGAGGGGGTGTACCTATCAATCATCCACTCATCCGCCACTCATAGATCCTGTTTTATGCATATAAGCTATAGTAACGGCTTCTATGACCATGGCAGCTGGGTGGAAAGTGCAGGCATAGTAGGGCACACTCTCAATGAGTTCCTGTCACAGCCCCTCGGTTCTAATAACCCCCATCAGTGTAATCCTCCAGTGCTGGAAACTGGAAAATTATGGTGGCAAAGGTGGGGAGATGGGCTCATTGGTAGAGAAAAATTCAGCAAAAGAAGGACACAGCAGCACAGGCGATACATCATACTGAAAGTCAATACATGTTAATGAAGGTAATATCATCTATGAATAAACTTTCTTCCCATGTACTAACAGCCATTCGGTGTCTGATAGCATGCTAATGAAAACAGTCTACCTTTCATCCAAGTTAGAACTTCTTAATCATGTTAATGAAGTGATAACTATGAAGCTTTTACTAGCTAGAATACTTGATAACCCAGAGAAGCACACAAAAATATTGGACCCATGGGCCCAAATTTATGGAGATGCTACAATAATTTCTCCCCCCCCTGGTCGGACACATGCCCCCTTCGATGTCCATTACAATCTTTGTTTCTACTTTTCCTTTCCCTTTTACTCTTTTGCGTTCTACCTGAAGCATATCTTGCCATGAATTAAGGTAAATTCTTACTGTCTTTGCAATTTAGCACGATTTAGCTTTGCAGAATAAACATAATAAAATAATATTGGATCTCACTGGTTGCCTTTGAGGCCTACGCACAATTATCTATGTTCATTGCCTAGGCCACATTGTGTATGACTTGATTATTTTTATCTGTTTGTCTTGAATGCAGTGTTATGCTTTCTAAACATAGTAATGAACATTTATTTAGACTGCTATCATTGTATGTTCCAAATTTGTATGTTTAAAGCAGAACTTATTAGAAATATTATAAAAAGACAAGCACAGTAAATGTGCTATTGCCTAGAATAAATAGAGAAAGCAGATTAGCCACCTCTGATTTTTAGTAATGTGTCAAATAGAAGCAGCAGGGGAAGTTTTGTAGGTCTGCTTGGTACTTTTAAACAAAACCGTAACTTTATAAAGTGTTTCAACATTTCATTAAAAAGTGAGTTCCCCAACTGTTAGCAATATCAGTCCAATGTGCACAGTGCTTTACTCTGCAAGAAGGTGTCAGGTAAAATGTAACTAAAAATACTGTATTACACATGTGCATAATTTATATAAGGTTATGACCCTCTGTGACAATATTTATCACAATAAAATAGATGCTGAACCATATGTTTTACTATAAAGCCTATAAAAACAACATTGTTAAAGAAAACTGCTATAGGATCTGTCCATAAGTTGAATTGCATGCTTTATGAAGCAATTAGTTGCCCCTGATGTCTTCTCTGATGCCATTAACTCCAAAATCTAGTGAAGAATAGCACTAACCGCTGCCCATTGGCACCTGTACTGTGTTTACTTCCCAGTGTGAGATAGTGAGAACAGTTTATTGGATATACTGTAATTAAGTCCTCCATTTACCAGATGTACGTCTAAATTAGGAAACCGGGTCAATTTTGAAAATTACATCACAGAAAAAGAACATGCTGTGAATTACTGACAGGGTAACACAACTTATTTTCTGACAGCTTTAAAGAGCATAATTACCCTTTATAAAACAGAGAAGAGGAAAATACCCTACACAAACATAATGCCTTCATTGAGATTATTTCTTTGCCAAGTGCAAGTATTATATGAGGACCTCTGTCATATAAAAATATATTTACCTTAATGTAGGGTTATCTTTGTATTCTTTTTTAAAGAGAGAGATACAATGTTGTACAAAGAAGATGATTGCTAGAGAGGTTGAAAATCTTAACTAAAAAAAATGTGTGAATTTTCACTTCATTTATCCAATCATGAAAAAAGCAATAGTCACGTGCACATGCTTTTTACATGACCAGATACTTGAAGTGAATATCCACACTATTCTCAGCTTCAGTCTCAAAGTCCCTCTATTCCTATAAAATAATTTCAACATTTGCTCAAAACCAAGCAAGAGGGTCTGATATCAAATTCCATCATGTTTCTTATAGATAACAACAAGTTAGCATGCAGGCTCCTAATCCTAGGATAAAATATATTTTCTGAAAATTAAAAATGTTTTGTTAGCCATGGAAAATATGACATCATATAAAACCATACTACATATATATGCTATTTAAAAAGGTGTAGGATGGGTCCAAGTGGGGAGCATGCTCTCTCTGCTCCTCCAGCACCGCCGCCTTTCTTCACCAATCCTGTCGGCACAGCAGATGGGAGACCAGCAGTTTTGATGCCTCCAGACTCCTACAAACCTTCTTCGGCAGATGGGATGGTTAAACTTGAACAACACATGCACAAACAACTTGGGGATCAACCTTCAGCTGGGTCCCCCCAAAGCTTTCAAGATGGCGGCAGTGCGGAAACACTTGTCCCCCAGCCACAGAGGGAGAAGTCTAAGAAGCCGACGACAGCTCCTTTCCCTGGGACTGGTATGAAATTCTCCTCTGGCAGCTCCTCTGCTAAGCAGAAATCCCCCACCACTATTAAGGAACATTTTAAGGATCCTTTGTCCCCCCTTAAAGCTGCTGCCCATATGTTTCCTAAGCCTGCTATGGCGGAACCCTGTGGGGGGGGGGGGGGAGTGGGGAGTAGTGGAGGAGGGCGACCATGCTGCTGCTTGTTCCTTCAGCTGAGACTGATTTAACTCTGAAACATTTTATGGATGTCATTCAAACTTGTCAGGCTGCCTTAACTACACAAATAGACTCAGTCAAAATGGATCTCTCTTTTTTAATACATGATATGCAGAAGATCTGTACTCGCATGAACACTGCAGAACAGAGGATCAGTGAGTTGGAAGATGTAATTGATCCTTTAAATGCTGCAGTTCTCTCTGCTCAACAACACCTTGCTGATCAATCTGCAAAATTAACCGACCTAGAGGATTGCCTCAGACTCAATAACTTGCAACTCATTGCCTTCCCTGAGGGAGTGGAGAGTAAGAAACCAGAATGATTTATTGAAAACTGGCTCAAGTCCATTCTGCTGCCAGACACGCTTTCATCTTTGTTTGCTATTGAGCCTGCTCATAGGGTCTCATTGTGCCCTTCGCCCTCTGGAGCACTGCCCCCTAGCTATCCTCCTGAAGCTTCTGTACTACTTGGATAAAGAGGCCATACTTCGCTCTACTCACTCTTTTGGTGAGATAACCTACAATGGCAGCTGTATCTCTATATTCCCAGATTTCTTGGCAGCCACACAGAAGCAAAGAGTGGCATTTGCGGCTGTCAAACGTAGACTCCGGGGCAAAAACCTACCATAGAGCATGTTGTGTTCTGCAAAACTCAGTGTTGTTGCCAAAGGTAAGGTTCAATTCTTCCCCTCTTACAGAAGCTTCAGATTGGCTGGATGGCATGAAGTGAATTTAAGCACACTGCTTCTCACATCACTAAATGCTTATTTTGTTCTTGTGCCTTTTTTCATGCCACTGTTGGACATACTAGATTTCTACTTTCTCTTGTTGTGTGCTGTGCCCTATTATTCTGTCTACATATGCTGCTGGTGGACCTTCTGCAAGTTTTTATCCCCTGCATACTTTTTGGCTTTCTTTTGGGGACTATTACAAACATTCCCCTTAAGGGTTAATGTTTTTGTTGGTTATGGGTTAAAGCCCACTGAGTGTTTATTGGTCGGGCCGGGTGGAGGGTTGGGGTTTATTGTTCTTTCTACTTTGTTATAACCAGAGTATGGTTTACCTGTATGCTTATCAAAATGCTATGTTTATTGCCCTCACTTGATACGTCCTTTCCCAAGGCACATAGCTCTCCCATCCTCCAATTATTGCATGACACAAGTTATGACGCTTAACTCCTGTCTTGGAATGTCCAAGGCCTTAATTCTAAAATCAAAAGGTCCTTAGTGTTTGGTCATATTAAAAAAGTCAAGGACCGTATTATCTTCCTACAAGAGATACATATCACAGGCTCACGAGTTATGGCATTGAAGTGTCCCACTGTTGCCCATGCTTTTCATGCTACCTACTCTACCTACTCAAGGGGGGTCTCCATTCTAATCTCTAAGGCTCTGTCAGTGCAGATTGAAGTGGTGGTATATGACCCTGGTTGTTGTTATCTTATAGTAGTGCTTAAATACCTGGATATCCACTATACTTTAGTAAATGTATATCTCCCTCCCCCATTTGACTTGTCTTGTCTGCTCACCTGCACATACTCATTGCTGGAGACTTTATTGCCACCTTGTCTCCATCACTTGACAGGTTGGGGGATGTGCATGTATCCCACACTGCACTACATGACTGGATGGAGAGCTATGGTTGGGTGGAAACATGGCATTGGAATCATCCTGAGCGTAAAGAATTCTCCTGTCATTCAACCTTTTACAATGCATTATCTAGATTAGATATGATTTTCACGCAACCAGAGACTTTAAACAAGGTTGCATCCATAGAATACTTACCGAGAGCTATCTCTGATCAGTCTCCCTTGGCATTGTATCTACAGGTCTCCTGCCCCTCTGGCCTGCATATCTGGTGTATGAGCCCTTTTTGGCTCTCTGACCCAATGGTTTTGTCTAAATGTAGAGACGACATGAGACAACTTTGGCTTGAAAACGATCAGGGCGTTTCTGTAGGGGTCTGCTGGGATGCATTTAAAGCTGTTATATGAGGTTCCGATATGAAGGGTGTCAGCAAGCTAAAAATAACCCATGATTCCAAGCTCACTGAATTGTCTTTCAGAGTTTCCGATTCAGAATCCTCTTATATAGCTGATCCCACACCGGCCAAGTATCAACAATGGAAGCATGATAAAAGGGCATATGCTGTAGCCCTCACAGATAAGACACAGAAAAAAAACTCTTATACCCAGCCATTCACATTTTTGAACATGGGGATACAAATGGTAAGCTGTTGGCTTTTCTGGCTAAACAGCCCATGCACCCTTTACTATTGCTAGGATATTAGCTAGTGATATAAGCGTACAAGAATCCACTGAATCTATTATGGATGCCTTCATCCATTTTATACTGTTCTATATACCTCTAAACCAGGCCTTGAAATTTCCACTCGCCTGCTCGCCAATGGCGAGTGGAGATTATGGTGGGGGCGAGTGTGTCCCCCAGGGGCGTATTTGCTGCAAGGCAAAAAAGGTGTTTGCCCTGGGGAGGCACTTTTTAGGGGGGGCGGCGCAGTGGCAACGTCACCCCCCCTCTTTCCCACAGAAGGGACACTTAGTACAGGGACGGGCTGCTGTGTATATTACCTAGGTCCGCGACTCCGTGTCCCCGTCCCACGTCGATCCGGTCCACGAGGCGCTGCTGCTGGAGGAGGGGTAAGGAGGTTGTCAGCGGGTCAGGTGTCTTCATTTCCCTGGATTGCAATGTGTGGGATGACATGCCGTTCCTGTCATCTTGCCACACCCCCAGGATCACTCAACAGCCTATGGCAGCTTGTCCCTCCCTCTGCAAGCTCCGCCTCCTCGCCGATGATTGGCCACCGGAACTGTAGCTCAGGAAAGGCACACACGAGGCCAAGCATCAGCGAGGAAGCGAAACTTGGAGATGAGGAGTCGAGCAGCAGCGTGAAGATCAAAGAAGTGAGGGAGCAGCCGGCGCAAGTGAAGAGGAGAGCGGCCGGAGAAGGAAGACAGCTGACCGGTAAGTGTCTGTGCCGTGCAGATGGTGCTGCTGCTGCTGCAGCCAGGTATGCTGGCTGTGGATGGGAGAGGGAGGGAGCGAGGCCAGGCTGGAGCAGGGGTCAGCAAGGTAAGTATCATTGGTGTCAGTGGGAGGAATAATGTCCCATTATTGGTGTCACTGATACCAATGATGGGGCACTATTCCTCCCACTAACACCAATGATGGGGCACTATTTCCCTCCCACTGACACCAACGATGGGGCACTATTCCTCCCCCCACTGACACCAACGATGGGACACTATTCCTCCCCCCACTGACACCAACAATGGGAAAGTATTCCTCCCTCCACTGACACCAATGATGGGACACTATTCCCCCCCCCACTGACACCATGATGGGGCACTATCCGCTCCCCCCCACTGACACCAATGACGGGTCACTATTCACCCCCCCACTGACACCAATGATGGGGCACTATTCCCCCCCCCACTGACACCCAATGATGGGACACTATTCCCCCCCCCACACTGACACCAATGATGTACATGTGTCTGTGTATGTATATACATGTGTCTGTGTGTGTACATGTGTCTGTGCGTGTGTATTTCTGTGTATGTACATGTATCTGTGTGTATATGTGTCTGTATGTGCATGTGTGTGTATACATGTGTCTGTATGTGTGTGTGTACATGTGTCTCTGTGTGAGTATGTGTGTATGTACATGTCTGGGTGGGTACAGGTGTCTCTGTGTGTGTTTGTTGGTGGTGAGTAACTCTTAAGGCCTGGCTCAGGACTTTAAATTTTAAGCCCTGCTCTAAACTACTGTACACTGCTGATGAGTTCTTGAGATACTTACAGTCGGTACGTCGCTCCTCCCTTAATTTAGAGAACAGGGATTACCTAGATAACCCCATTCAGGATGATGAATTGTAACGAACGTTGGGTACATTTGCCAAACATAAAACACCAGGTTTGGACGGTCTGTCCATTGAATGGTACTTGGCTCATAAAGAGGTTGTACTTTCTCGACTACTCTCCCTGTATAAACATATTTTGGAAGAGAGTAAACTTCCAGAATCTATGAGAGAAGCCCTTATTGTGTGAATTCCCAATCCCAATAAAGATCCTAGATACTGCGAGACCTATCGCACCATATCCCCCTGATCAATACAGATCTTAAAATTATTTCAAAAATACTTACCAACCGTCTATATACTGTAATTGCGTGGCTGATCAAGTCTGATCAATCTGGCTTTATCCCCGGCTGCTCCACGTACATCAACCTGCGACGGCTGTTTACCAATCTACAAGTCCCCAATGACTCTGATACCCATAGTGTGCCTTATTTGCTACAGGTGTTAGAGAAATATGGCTTTGGAGATACTTTTATGTGGATCAGGATCCTTTACCATGTGCCCATATACGAGTCAATGGCATGTATCCTATCCCTTCTCTATTCAGCGGGTACGAGACAGGGGTGCCCCCCATCCCCTCTTTTGTTTACCCTTGCAATTAAACCCTTAGTGGAGTTACTCAGAGTTTCCCCTCAGCTTACAGAACTTCAGAATGGCCTGCTCGAGGAGAGGGTATCTTCATATGCCGATGATATGTTATTATATATCTCATACCCAATGTAAAGTATACAGGCTGCTTTAGAGCTCATTCAGGAGTTTAGACACTATTCTGGGCTTAGGGTTAATTAGATAAAATCCTGTATTTTTCCCCATTGATAATAAATCCCCCCTACCATTACCTCCAGGTTGCCCACTACAGGTTACACATAAATTTAGATATTTGGGAATCAATATTCAGCTCCCACTGGCAAAATATTTCAATATTAATGTTTCACCATGTATTTAATCTTTTCGCACCAAATTACTCCAGTGGCTAAAGCTGCCTCTCGCACTGATGGGGAGCATAAACCTTTTAAAGATGGTCTTCTTACCAAAATTCCTCTATCTCTTAGCTAATTCCTCCATTTATATTCAAAAATGTAATTTTCAAGAAATAGAGTCTCATTTTTGTGGCACCCTGGGATTCCCAGGCTCTCCCTGGCGACAATTTCTGGTCTCTAGGGAAGGTCTGGTGCTCCCTAACCTATGCCCTTATTATTTTGCTGACCAGTTAGTGTATATCCATTGGTGGCTTTTTTCCACAGATGGGAAATGTGACCACTGCTGCTGAAGCTGCTGTCATCTCCTCCTATGAAGTTTTGGGTAACCTCATTTATAGACGCACAATTAACACTACGCAGGATATGGTAACTCTGAAGACCTCCTTGAACATTTTTAATCATTGTTTGAATATACTTAATGAAGCCACTCACATATGTTCCCCCCCCAATCAGCCTTTGTGGTTTAATCCTCGTTTAGTCATTTTTTATACCTTACCTGATAGCTTACAGTGGGTAGGATGTGGTATAAAGTATCTTCACCAGTAATATAAATCATGGTGTATTCAAAACTTTTTTGCAATTACAGAGGGAGTATCAAGTGCCTTTGGAGTGGCAGTGGCACCTTCGTTGGGGTTAAGGGAAGTACAGCTATGTTATTCTAAGCTTGAACGCATGCTTCTTTCTCACACCCACACCAAGCTTGACTCTACTTACTACTGCTTGTTGATAGATAAACCATCATCACCCCAACTTGAGAGGGCCCGGGACAAATGGGTAAGAGATATACCTAACCTTACCCTCAATGACTGGAAGACAGTGTGTTCTTTGTATCCTGACACAGTAATCTCCACCAGAGATAAATTAATTCAGTTGAGGTATCTACATTGAATGTATTATACCCCTAAAAGGCTATTTTTTAATGCATAAACATGCCAACCCTGCTTGTCATAAGTGTGAAATAGAACGTGGAGATTTCCTTCATATGGTTTGGTCTTGTAACAAGGTCAGACCATGCTGGTCAGCAGTCACTGCATTCATCTCAGAAATCGCCCCAATATATGTAATCTTAAATGGTGTCTTTTGGGAGTGTTTGATGATGTTGAGCTTCCCTCTAAGACTAAATTGTTTTGAAGGGGGGGAGGGGCCTGAACATGGCGGCATGGGAGAGTGTGGAGTAAGCACTCCCCTTTAGCCTTCCCCGCTAATTTTCCCTATGGGGTCCCAACAATCTAACTAGCTGTGCTGGAGGGCGGTCGGAGATTCACCTGGCTGGCGTGGCGGCTTGCCTGTAGTGAGGCGACGGGGCTCCTGTTCTCCTGAGGTCCTCTCACGGTAACTCCAGAGGAAAGGCAAGGTTGCCAGGCGACGAAAGAAGCGGCGTGACCGCGTGGACAGCCGCAGAGGAGTGCTGGGAGAAGGGGAGGCCGGCCGGCATCCTAGGGAGCCGGTGGAACGCCGGCTTCTCATTTCCAACCTGTCCCCAGGGAACTCAGAGAGTCTGAAGGACAAGCAAAAGGGACCGAATAGGAATCCCCTAAAGAGAGTACACAGATAAAGGGGGCCAGATAAGAAGGACTGCAAGCTGATGCCGCTCTATGGTGGAGGGTGAGTGAGAATTGCTGGTCTCCTTAGGTACTGGATATTCTTTTGACTGTACCAGAATATATTGAACTTGACACTTAATTCAGATAAGGAAATAGGGGATTCCTAGAGAGGGTCTGAAGGGTCTGAAGGTGTGGAAGAAGAAGAGTCTTAAAAATATCCCAAAAGTAACATGAAAGGCAAAAATATTAAAGGGAGTGAGCCCAAGAATTCCCAAACTGGTACGATAAAGAAGTATACATCGCAGGGGAATTTGACTCCAGAAAGATTTCAGGGAGCAAGTGAAAAGAGTGAACTGGAAATAAGTTTGGATAATAGCCCGAGATTATCCCTGGGAACGGTTAATAATAGACAACAATCAATGGAAGGAATGGAGGCGAGAGAAACTGAAAAAGACCTACAAATACCAAATAAAAAGGAAATGGCGGAGATTAGAGATGAGCGAAGTATTCAAAAATTTGATTCGGCTGATTCGGCGAATTCGAGGAATAAATTTGATTCGATGCGAATATATTCGCTGCGAATTTAAATTATAAAAAGGTGTTTCTAGGCTTCAGAGAGCCTTTATATTAGTGCAGAACACTGTACCTTTAATTTAAATGCCCTTGGAGTCTGCTGGGGAAGAGAAATAATACTGTCAGTCAGTATGACATGCAGATGAGTGCCGTCGATCTTAGAATCACCGCACACTTCACTCATTTGGGCAGTCACGGGGCCAAAACCAGAGTGTGGAGCCACAGTGTGGCGGTGGAGGCAGCAGCAAATGGGAGGCCATACAGCACCCTATGACAAAATAGAACCCACCAGCAGTGTGAGGCAGAGTGTGGCGATGGAGACAGCAGCAATGGGAGGCCGTACAGGACCCATGAGAGACTCTGGACCTGGCAGCAGCATGAGGAATGCGTACAGGGGCCCATGCACATTACGGCCTGGCAGCAGCAATGGGAGGACCCATGAATCTGCCTGCAGCACCCTATGACGCCGCAAAGGGAGGAATTACATAAATGGAACACACAGCAGTGTGAGGAGACCTGAAAGTGGCACATGGCAGAGTGTGGCGATGGAGACAGCAGCAATGGGAGGCCGAACAGGGACCCATGAGACAGACTCTGGTACCTGCAGCAGCATGAGGAGGCGTACAGGGGCCCATGCACATTACGGGCCTGGCAGCAGCAATGGGAGGCCCGTAATCTGCCAGCACCCTATTGAACAAAATGGAACACACCAGCATGTGAGGAGACCTGAAAGTGGCACATGGCAGAGTGTGGCGATGGAGACAGCACCAATGGGAGGCCGTACAGGGACCCATGAGACACTCTGGACCTGGCAGCCAGCATGAGGAGGCGGTACAAGGGCCCATGGCAGATTACGGGCCTGGCAGCAGCAATGGGAGGCCCCGTAATCTGCCAGCACCCTATGACAAAAATGGAAACCCACCAGCATGTGGAGAGACCTGAAAAGTGGCACATGGCAGAGTGTGACCGATGGAGACAAAGCAGCAATACGGGAGGCCGTACAGGGACCCATGACAACCTCTGCGACCTGCAGCAGCATGAGGAGGCGGTACAAGGGCCCATGGCAGATTACGGGCCTGCAGCAGCAATGGAGGCCAGTACAGGGACCCATGACAAGACTCTGGACCTGGCAGCAGCATGA